GTACTATGTTTAGAAATTTTACTTTTAGGAAGGTTGGGTTGTAGTATCCTGATCGAATGTCGATCTTGTAGGATACTGGATTTACAGTTGTCTTTTTTTCTTTTTCTTCATGATGTCTCTTAATCACGGAGCATACTTCTATCAATGGTTGAGAAAATTTAAGGTCTTTTCTAGATGAGAGAGTAGGGAGGTCATATACTTTCGTATTGGAGCAGTCTGTAGTAGTAGTAGGGTTGATCATAGGGTTTTTATTATGCCTAGTTCACTTATAGTGATTCTTAGATGGTTTAGAGAGAAATCTTTCATGTGTGGTGGTTTATGGATCCATACCACACTTCCGTTGTGCTACTCTGAATGGTGTTTACTTTGAAGGTTTATCCGGGTGTATTGTATCATTTTTGTGTTACCCTTCGACATAAAGGAATCATATTCTAAGATATTATTAATGATTTATGGTTAAACCATGTCCTTAGGATATCCTCTTCTCCCATGAAAATTAAATCTAGGAGGGACAAAAACTTTCGGAAAGAAGATTTCTAATTAAGCATACACAAATCATCTGATACAGAAGTTTTCTGTTCATCGAGGATATGATGATTTAAGGCTTAAGGGCTTATAAAGTAGCATTATGACTCCGGTATGACATCTTAATAAGGATTTGGAACAGTTAGGGTATTCGTTCTTCCTAAAGATGATTCACAAGAAATTCTATATTTTATCATAATACTAAATGATTATTTGGTCTCTCAAAATGCTTTCTTTTATGTATGCTTTCTTCTAGGTCTACTTGTTCTAAGATTTCTTGCCTTCTTGGTCTCTAGCGAATTTAGAAAAAAAAAATTTCATCTCATAAGGAATCAATTGTAGGTAAATTACCAACTGACCAAAATATCCCCAATAATAGTTATCGCTGAAAATAGCAATACTGAAGCATTAAGAACTTAAGTATTTGCAAAAACACAGGTAGGGAAAATGGGAGGCTAAAAGCTATCTCAGTTTAGAAAAACATCCTGTATAATGAAAATTCGAATAATATCCACGTGATAAGTAAGTCAAGTAAATAGGTTGCATCAAAGCTCTCTAAAATGAAAGAATGGTCCAGCCCTCTAAACTCTCTATGTGTGATGATTTTGATATAAACCATGATGTTATCAACAATAACAAACTCCTTGGTCATTTAGTTCACAACATAACAAGTTTGTAATTAGTAGCACTAATTGCAATCATAACATTTAATATCCCAATGCAAATTGAGAATTGGTTGAATGACTGGATACGATTGGTTATGAAAGATAAGAATCATCGCAAATGACTATAGAGAAAAACATATGTTTTAATAAACATTAATGAAGAAAACTTGAATGACATGATTCAACAATGGACGAGATAGCATAATGGTCATAAGCAAATGTAATGGTAGCAAATGCTTAAGCCCAAAGGTCTTGTATTGGTTCGAGAGTGCATCTAAGCAAGTCCTCAACTATAACTCGAACTACCCATTTGAACACATTATCACATCGTTAAAAAGGAATGATTGGGAATATATCAATATTGTCCAAGAACTAGACACTTCCAAGGTGACGGTAGTTGGCCCCAAGGCTGAGAGAAGGTTCTTATCCCTTCAAACTTTAAGAATATTACAATAATTATCTGATTACATAAGGGGACTCTTCCAATACCCACTTATTTGGGGGTTTTCTTCCACTTAGGAGAATTTTCTCTCACTAAAGGTTGTTCTCTCGTTCAAGAGATTTCCTTCTCACTTTGGGGAAGCTTCCTCTTCTAAAACTCATTTCCCAACTCGAGGGAAATTTATGGTCTTTCCCAAAAATTTATCCACTTATTCCCAGTAGGTAATCTCTTCGGTAGTATTTAAGTTTTCTATGGTTTCATATAATATGATAGATTAAGGTTATTGCTTGTTTGCCATCTCCAGTGGACTTCGGAGTGAAGCCCTAATTCTTTGATATCTAGGTTTATTACATTCCAACCCTTGTAACTTCTGTGAAGCCCTAATTCTTTGATATCTAGGTTTATTACATTTTAACCCTCTTAAATTTTATTTTTTCAAGCTTTTGGAACTACAATCATACCTCTTCAAATCCACATATGTTTTAGAAGAAGTTCTAAAACATCTCCTAAGGTGTGTATTACCTAATTTCTTCGGACTCTAAATCTCATAACAATCATAAACCTCATGATACAAGGGATGGTTTCGAGGAACGTGAGCTATGATACCAATTGTAACGACCCCCTTTCTCTATTGAGAAATAAGCACTACTCCACACATATAGTCTGATAAATTTACGCAGTAATAAACGAAAACTTAAGATTCAATCATCTCTATACGGAATTACGAGACATGAGACTTACAAGATCTTTTACCTTACATCGCTATAATATAATTAAACTAACTTTATAAGGTGAACTCTTACTGTCACTAAAGATTCTTCAAAGTCTTCCCTCGACCTTGAACTTACTCTTGATTTGGACTAATCTGCACTAGGGGTTATGAATTGAGATGAGCTTCACGGACTCAATAAGAAAAATGGGCAGTGCCCACAACAAAGACATACACACACTCAATCATCAAATCTTTTAAATTAGTTCATTCAGTAAACATTTAGAATTCTTTATTTTAGTATCATAACTTAGGGCATAATAGTTACATAAATAGCATAATTCGATATTCAGTATCACAATTTAAGCAATAAACAGTTTAGTAGATATCAATTTAATATTTCAGTATCGTAAACTTTACTTATGACTTTCTATTTCTTCATATTAGTTTATATCTTATTAAAAATAGTTTTACCGTGCGATGTCATTTCCGCCAGCATCAACGAGAAAAGGTAGGATCCCCTATACCTCGTGAATACGTTACAGTTCAGTTCATAATTCACAGTTTACAGTACACAGTATATAGTTTACAATTCTTATCGCTTCGCCACGTCTAGCTGAATCTGTATCCACGGGTAGGGTTCACCAAAGTCACACGCCAAAAGGCAACACACACACACATCCCTAGGTGATGTTGGTTAAATGGATTTTTTCATCTTTTAAAGACTCTTATATTACTCTTTTACTAATCGAGTTCAGCACCAGATGACCTACTTAGAAATGCACCAATTTATATATCATATATACAATATGCATCAACAAGCCTACACAACATTTGACCTAAGCATCTCCGATCTTACATTTGACCTCACCTTCTTGTTTGCTTCCATTACTTCTTTCAAATTTAATAGTAAAAGAATGAATGAAATTATATAGTGCATTAATAAATCTAGTATTTATGCATATATATACACAATTATACTATATGTAGTATTAGATATATCTAGCTAGTAAGCCATTTTGGGTAATAATAATTTATTTCATTCTTCCATATATTTTTCCTTTTATGGTGTGACCCAAAAAAGGAAAATAACAGCCACGAAAGTAGAGTATATTTTTCTACATATATATATACACATATATAGAATAAATGAAAATTTTTGACCTCTTATTCTAAAAAAATTTAGAGATATGGAATCTTACCGAAAATTCTATATATGTAGACATATGTATTTTGGGGAAATATAATTTATTTAAAGAAATGTATCTATACATGTATTTTACTAGAAAAGGAATGATATTTACAATATTTAGAATTTAATCAAGCTTCTACTTTCTATGGTTGTATAGCTACTTGCTCGTGATTAATGCATTGTTTTAATATAAATTTAGATTTTTATCCTCATCTCAATTTTCTTGTGATTGGATTTGGTAATTTTGTTTATGTCATTTGATGTATGTGTGCACAGTCTCAATCATGGAATATTATTTATTCTTACTAAGCATGTGAATCTCACCCAAATTCAAGCTCTTATTTCAGATCAGTAAAAATCAGGAGCAAACCAAAAGCAATTAGGAGAGATTGAAGATAACTTTCAAACTATATGATCTAAATTTGTATTGCAAGTAGGAATTAAGTTAGGATATTATCTGTAAATAATTTTATGATATCTCATATATTTTATATTTTAATAATTATAATTTAAAATTTTAATTATTTATTAAATTTTAATCTACGATATCTTAAAATAAAATTAACTATACAAATAAAATAAAATAATATTATCTAATAATTTAAATTTTCAATATCCATCATGATAATGAGAATCAGAAACATTTATCAAATACATAATATTATCAATATGACCGTTCATATATAATAAATAAATAAAAATGTACAGGATGTGTTTTTATATACTTTATGATATGTGTATTTATAATATAAATATGATTTAGCTTTTAATTAGAGTGAATAAATTTTGATTAAATTTAAGCACAATACGGTAATGAATAACATCCTTCTTTTTGTTCTTTTTTTAACTTTCATAATTTAACAATTAAGAAGAACTTTATAAGAACATGTATCTACATTAATACATATGATGTATATGAGGCATGACATGAATAACAGCTGTGTAGAACTTAATTGGGTGAAGTTTAAAATTAATTACCATATATATAAGCTTCATACATGCATACAACCACAAACAAAAAGAAGAGAAATTCAAACTCCAATATGCAATGAACTTCATCAATCTAGGAAATTGTCCCCATAAAACAAAATTGACCCACATCTCTATTTAATTTTCAGTGGGCACTATGGTATCTTTACTTCTGTCATTACACTTTAACCAAAAATAAAAATTAATTGCTTAATTTTTTTAACAAATATCTTATCTCTAAAAATGGAATCCACTTGAATGATCATTAATAGTTTGTCAACTAGTTAGAATTTGTATGGTAACAAAATTATTTTTGTCCATGCAAATAAAAGGATACAAGTAACTTGTTCATCTCCAGAAAAGCTCTACAATCTTCTTAAGGTTAGTTTGCCTATTCCAAATTCTATTTCCGTTGTAAGTTCCCAACTCATTTGTTTGAATTTTAAGGTTTTGTTTTGATTTGATTATTTTATTTCTGTCTGTGGTTATTTGTAGGCGATGGATAAGGAAGAATCAATAGAGAAAAATAACAAGAAGATTGCTAAAAAGAGAAACTTAGAGAATTTTTATTGGCCTAAAAAGTTTGTAACTGCTACATTAACACCGACTACTCTTACTTTAGCCCCAAATACTTTTAAAATATGGAAACAAGAAAAATTTAATTTGGAAAGTCATGGATCTACTGCTAAGGAAAGTAATAACAGTAAGACTAACCCTACTTCTCAGTCATCTGATGCAAATATCATTAGTACTGTTGGTAACCAGGTCAACGCAGGTGGTTTCTCTCAACCGTTATCATTTGATGGAAACATTAATGAGGTTGGTGATGATGGTAATGGTTGCTGTGGCAAGAATTTTGAAAATTTTGAGCCTTTGGCTAGTAACTCAAATATTAACATCAATCCAAGGAGGCACAAGAGGTAAATAATCACCATTTTATAATTTTTCATATTTTTATATTAATTTTGTGCAACTCAAATTTTTTTATAAATATATAATTAAAGCATTAATAATATGTAATTATACTTTTTTTTTGCTTATAGGATTTCGTCAAGTGAGCTGCATCCTGAACAAAGATCTAAACAAAAAAAGGTTCAATTTTCTTCATATATGAAAAAGCTTAAGTATTCATGGAAGAGAAAATACAATTACATATATATTAATTTATTTTTCTTAATTAGTATATGTCAATAACAACCAGATAATTTTAATACACATAAAAACACATATCTGTTATCACATATTTCTCACATATGTTGAGGTAGATGACTCCACAAGTTGAAAGCTCTCAAGGAAAAGAAAGTGCTTTGCAAATGGTGAAGAACACTAGCTCGATAAACATGTCAACTACAACTAGAAACAACTCCACAGTTCAGTTTGGTAAGTTTTCTCTCTTTCCGCCATCCTATACATGTTATGTCTTCATCAAGACGTATATGTATATATATATATATATTTCATATTTTACAAAGTATGCACTTTTATATACATTCACCTATCTGGTACTCGCATAAGTGAATTTTTTTTTATATAATAAAATAAACGATATGATGATACCAGATAAATATTTAAATACCATTAAAATATAGAACAATCATTTGCATACATACACATACATAAGTTTAGAACAATAATAATAAAAAAAACGTATGTTAACAGAAAAAATTGAAGAAATGCAAAGTGAGGTAAATCATCTCAGACAAGTGTATAATAATTACCTTGTCAGACAAATACATATGCAAAGAGAAGCCATTGTGGAAAATAAATTATTAGGAGGGCAAATGAGGAACCCGAGCAGCTTAAATCTTCTCTCTACAGGATGTGAACAAACATCTCACATGAATCTAAGCCAAGGTAAAGTTAAAATTTCAAACTTTTTAATTTTGAATTTACGTATGAAGAGTAATATCTTAAATGTTAGATATTTTCCTCTAAATTAAATATTATTTTTGGTTTTGTCCTTTCCAAGGAGAATTATATTTATTTTTATTTAAAGATAATATTTACCACATATATGTTTTATTATGTTTGTCCTAAAAGAAGGAACTATATTTAAGTCAAAATATAACTAAAGAAATATACTAGAATTGCAAATAATTAAACACAATAGGAATCTTAGTTTTATAGTATTTATTGATAGCGTTATCGTATTATAAGCTTTGGTTTACACGTCGATGCATTCATTCATGCAAATATTTACATAATTGTGTATATGCATATGACGAATGCATTTTTTCCTACATGTATAATTCTGCTTTTTACATAACCATTCTTGTTTAAAAAAAAAAAACTCTATTTGATTGTGTCGTTGTTGTTTATGATAAAAAAACTTAAATAATTCAAGAATATACTAAAATATTTTTGGTGAAACAACTTTTCTTAGATAAACAACTTGTTAAAAAAAATAAAAAATAATCAATAGCAAAAATTACTCGTATAAATTTATGGTAAAAAAATATATATCATTCTTATATACTGTAATACTTATATCATATGTACATAATAGCTTTTATTTTTATAAAATAAAAAATATAACTGTCATAAGTCATTGCAGGTACAACTAAAGCAAATAGCAGAGCTCATGGCATTGATAAATTAAATCAAGTTGACATGCACCAACAACTAATGATTGAATCCGACACTTATAGATCGAACCATGTCAGCATGAATCAACCACAACAAATGGTTGGACCCAATATTTATGGTTTAGACCACCTTAACAAAAATGAACAGCAGATTATTGGACCAAATGTTTGCGCATTGAACCAATTCAGTGGAAATCAACAACAAGCAATTGGACCCATTGTTTATTGACTAAACCAAGTGGCCAGGAATCAACAGCAGCCACAAACGATTAGACCCAATGTTGGCGAGTTGCACCAGGTCAACAGGAATAAAAAAACATCAAACAATTGGAGCCAACATATAACAAGTGATTGGATCCAATGTTTACAGATCGAATCAGGTCAATCTAAACCAACAACAGCAAGAGATTGGATCCTTAAACCAGGTGAACAAGAACCAGCTGCAAACTATTAGACCAGACATTGACGAATTGCAACAGGTATGCATGGATCAGTAACAATAAATTATTAGATTCAATATTTATGAATTGAATTATTAAAAGTGCTAAATTACTAGAGTTAATGTTTGTGAATCATGTCAGGTAAATTTTAATTGGCAGCAACAAACTATTAGACCTAATGCTGACATATTGAAACAGGTCAGCATGAATCAACAAGAAGGAACAACTGGACATGCTTTTAATCAGTTGGAGCACGTCAAAATAAACCAACAACATCAAATAGTTGGACCTGACATTTTTGGATTGAATCAAGACAGTGCTAGTCAACAAAAAATGATTGGGTCCAACATATCAAACCAAGTTAATGGCTATCGAATGCAGCAAACGATTGCAACAAATGATTATAGATTGAATGAGGTTTGGATGAATCATCAACAAAGAGAAATGATTGCGCCTAATTGTTTGGACAAGGCTATAGGTTTACAGGTAAATATTGGAGAGATGCCAAATAATACACTCTTGAGTCTTGATCAGTCTATCTTGAACAATGCCGCAAATTTGAATATGATGAGGAACCGATTATCTAAGTTAGAGAATATGGTTAATCTTATGACGATGAATAAAAAACATGAGTATGGGTCAAATAACAATACTAATATAAGCTTCAACAACAACCAACCTGGGATAAGCTCTAGTGATGCATGTAGATCAACGAATATGAGCTTCGACGATCAATTGGGAATTGCCTTTAGTGATTTTTTTTGGTTCAGACAACACTGAAAATGTAACAGCCCCGGAAAATATTAAAAAAGAAATGAGTATTTAAATATATCGAATGCGGAAGCGAGATCAAAATTTCAGTTAACATCCCTTACACGAAAAAACCAAAAAAACGTACTTAAAATATAAAAGGTTAAACTAAGAAAGAAAACTCGAAAATAAACTTTGCGTATGACTACAGAGTCTCTAGGCATCCCCTTCGTCGTCCTCCTGCGGAACGGGCTCGGGAACCATGTCTTCCTGATCTGAAATGGTTAATTAAGGAGTGAGCTACACTAGCCCAGTAAGAACATCACGATATCTCACCGTCACGGAGATAAAGGTGGGTAGAAAATCACAAAAAGACCAATGGAGCATAATTTACAATAAATTCTTTTGTCAATAATAAATCCTTTACCATCCACTTACCTCGGTGGAATTTATGAAAATAATATAAGAAAAATAATAACATTATCACAATCATGGAATAATATAAGCTGTAAAACATAGCACTTATCACGCCTTTTATAATTCAATCATTATACAACATATCTTTTTCTCATTTACCAGCCTACTAGTATCCATGGGGGTCCCTAGGGGTCCCGCTACCCGTTAACCTTTAACATTCATAATCAGTTTCCAGGGCCGTCCCCATACCCCGTCCGGTATGGGCGCCAAAACCATAAACCTCAATACCCCGTCCGGTATGAGGGTGAAACGGGCCGTCCCCATACCCCGTCCGGTATGGGCGCCAAAACCATAAGATCTCCATGCCCCGTCCGGCATGTGAGACCACAATCCCGGTAGGGTTCCCTACGGACCCGGTCCGTCCACCATCTCCCAGGATATCTAGTCAGGCTGACCCCATCATACAATTATCAGTCTATACAATGTTTCATTTCCCTTTTTCCTCAATAAGCATCATCAATTCACATTTAAACAAGCAAATCGTAATTCATGCCGAACAGACAACATACAGTATCAGTTCTTCAGTCATTCAACCCATAATTAATAAAACAGTAAGATATGCATTCGAAACTATAAAATGAACACATCAAACCCCATAATGCATTTAAAGCTGTAAAACAGTGTAAAACATGCCAAATAACAGTAAATCATCAATCACACTAGACTCGGGCTCCATTAGCAACCTTAAGCAATTTCACACATGCGTTAATTCAAGAAATACCGTTTTATCATTTTGAACTTTAATACCGTGATAGGAAATAGGGTGAGGGGTCCTTACTTGTTTTCGGGATCCGAATACGATTCACAGTGCGCCTGCAGGCTGTCCCTAATTTTCCCTGAATTTTTCCCGGGGAACTGAAACACGCTAACAGTACCTGCACGTGTTCCAAAAAAAATCCAAATTAGGCCCAGGGCCTCTTTCGGCCCAAATCGCAACTCCGGCACGGCGGCTCCGCCGTGCTCCGGCGACGGCGCCGCCGCTGGCGGCGGCGAGTCGCCTCGGGTTGACTGTTTTCGGCCGTTTTTGGCCGAATTCGGCCACACTCGCATTGGTCCTTGTCAGAAAACAACCCTAGGGCCCTCGGGGGGCCAAAAAATCACGGAAAAGCGGAGCTTACCGGCGGCGGCGCTCTCGGGTACGGCGACTCTCCGGCGAGGTTCGTGTTTTGGTGATTTGGCTTCGGTCAACCTGTAGAGAAAAGAATGGTGATCACGGTGATATAAAAATTGCATCGAACGGAGGCCGGGAAGGGCCTCGTCGGAGGCAAAAACCGAGAGGGGACGCGGCGGCGCCGCTGGGCTTCGGCCGCGTATTCCGGCCGTTTGGACGGGATTTCGGCTTCAATTTGGCCTTAAGAGGAATCAATGGGGAAAAACGAGTCGGGAGTATGAAATTTACCTCTATCGGCGGTCGGAAATTTCCCCGGTGCGGCGGCGAGTGGCGGCGGGTGGCGGCGGTCGGCCTCTGGTTCGTCTTCTCCGGCGAGCGGCTGGCGGCTAGGGTTTTTGGTCTGGTGTGGAGGTTCTATTTATAACCCCTTGCCTTTTGATCACAGCCGTTCATTTCGTTTTAATCTGGGCCGTTCGTTTTTGATTGAATCTGGGTCGTCCGTGCGTTTGAATCTGGGCCGTCCGATCGCGTGATTGATCTGGGCCGTCGGATCGCACCCACGCGGATCGCCAACGTGGCTCCTTTTGGAGTGACGCGATCTTGCCACGTGGCAGGCCCCGGTTGGCCGGGACTGCTGACCGGGCCTGCTGACGTGGCTGCTGACGTGGCCCCCCCCTTTTTTTTTTTTTTTTTTTTTTTTTCCTCCTCCTTTCCGGGTGCTACAGAAAATCATTTGATGGGTTTCAAGAATCAGCCCAGAGTGAATTTTTGGAACAACCCTTTGTGGATCAAACATGGAAACCTTGGGTATGAATAATCAATCTGGTATGAACTTCAGTGAAATGAACATTGGCAATCCGTCTATGGGAAGTCTCACTGATGAATTTAGATCAAGCATTAAGATGGTAGATAGTGGATTAAACAATCAATTTGGATTTAAAGACATGGTGGACATGAGCTTAATAGATGATAATGGGGCATTCAACAAAGTTTTTAATGTTAGCTTTTATTGTAAAGATGGGTTGAGCTCCATTGAAAGTGAGAGCGTAAACATGAATGAAAAGCATAACAACATAATAGCAACTAGTATGAGTGTTGGCAGTGGATCGAATAACATGACAGCTGAAAGAAGTTTTAATGACAAGAACAAGTCAAATGCTACGAAAAATATGACATTGAACAATGAAGATGAGTTCAACAGCATGGGAAATAAGCTCTTTAATAATCAAAATGGCTTAGGCATGGAAAACACAAGTTATCTAGAAGAATATGGATTAGGGAGCATGAGTTTTGAAGATGACTTTGGGCAACAGAATATGAACTTTTTAGACATGCAGCATCAATTTGGATCAGAAGAGTTTGGGAATATGATAATGGAAAATGAATCTGGATATGAGAGAATGACAATTATGAGATCAAATGATGAACATGAGGCTCAAGATAAGGGAAATCAAAGTTCAACTGATCAAATTTGGCTTTCTAAATTCAATTTGGATGACAATCAATCAAGTTTTGGTGGAATTGAAGAAATATTGAAGGATTTCAAAAAAAAAAACTAAACACTCACAAGAACAATTTTATTGTTAATGTTTTCCTTTGTTCCCATGTATTGTCTCTAGATTTATGACTCTTTTTTATATTTTTTCTAATATTTTATTATCATGTCTAAGTGTTGTGTTTGTCTTTCTCATAAAGTTTGTAATATATCCATCAACCATTAGTAATAAGTTACTTATATATATATATATATATATTAACAGAAAATTTAGAAATTTTATTTTGAAGATATTATAGGACTTTATGTTTTTGCAATAATAACTGAAGGTAAATTTATTATAAAAAGTAAATCGATGAACTTATGTAAATGTATATTATATATTTAATATATATAATGAAAACATGGGGTAGATCATATGATATAATAATTAATAATACCAAAAGGTTGCTCGGAAAAAAATTGAAAATAAGCTTTGTTTCTTCAATTTTTTGAAGAAGTTCTACCTGCTCAATTTATAATTGGTCTTGTACGATGTCTTGATTTCACGATTTTTGTCAGGAACTCCTAAATCAATTGTTTCTCTTTTTTTTTTAATATATATATATATAATATACATATCACATCATTGGATTTCATAGATACAAAAATAATATATTTCATTGTAATATTGAAGAATTAGAAAACTACAGTCATTCAAGATTAAAATAATGTTAAAATAGTAAGATAAATACTACATACATACTAAAACACAATATCACATAATTCATGATTTTCCAAGCTCCCCCACTACATTAAAAAAAAAACAATTATCTAACATGATATTATTCTGTCATAATGTTCAATGTATATGAAACTTATTTTTATCACGTACTTCTATTATAATTAATATTTCTTCTATGATACGATAAGAGCCTCTTAAATATATTAATCATTTAGGAATACTGTTATATATATATATTACAACTGGAGAACAAAAATTACAAAGGCAAATGTATATAATTAAAGATTTAATATTTTGTGGCAATTGATGATATTTTTTAGAGATGAATCTTTTATATGAATTTTCATTAAAAAAAAAAATTAGTTTGTAAGAATCGTTGTTGTATAACGATTCATCAACAAGTTGATGCTTCCCAAATCAAGTAAAAGTGCAAACCTAAAACTGTATATTAAAAAATAAAAGATTATGAGTCTCATCTAATATCTTCAGTTACCATAAATACTTTATATTAATCAGTACCGAAACTAGTTTAATAATTTAAAATTTCTATAGTTTGAGTTCGGTTTGCTTGGTGAATCAAAATCTATATTCGATCTATAGAACATTTACCTCTCAATAATATTTTTGCATCCGTTCCAGAATTAACAGTAACAAAAAAGATAAAAAATACTTTCAGGTTTGATATACCTCAGTTTTAGGGTGATTGACTTATCGATTAATCAACTTTTTTTTATGGTGGTGGTTGTAAATATTTTTATGAATTTATTATTTTTATCATATTTATTTTTTGATTAGTTTAAAATTATTAGGACAGCTCCTATTTTTTTTTTAATTAGATTAATTTCATAAATAAAATTTAATTAATTAATAACCATTAGGGAAGATCATACAAATTAAGTATAATTAAAACTATATGTCAGAGATATGAATCCCAAAAAAATTATTACAACAACTTCTTCTTCTTTATTTGCAAGATAATCAAAAACAAGAAAGAAGACACCACACTAAAATTATCAAAATTATTCATAGTCATGTAATATATATATATATATATATATGAGTATATATACTACTGTTCAACTCCCACCATCAATATACCAGCTTGTCTGCAGATATACATATATCATCTTTAACTCCGCTAGCATGCTGGAGATGATATATATATATATGTGTGTGTGTCTTTGTGTGTGTATTTGTAGAGCTACATTGGAGACAAACCTAGA